AATACGGGTACCGGCGTCCATCGGGGCAGAGTGGAATTCAGACACCATGTTGCGGATGTGGTTGTTCGACGGCATTCTAGTCACAGTGTCACGTTCAACGGCGTCGGTGAAAGCTTTCCAGTCGACACCGAACGATTTCCAGGTGACTTGATCCCTGTTGTTGTTGTTGTTGTTGCTGTTGTAACTGCCGTTGTTGTTGTTGTTGCTGTTGTGCATGATTCGTCCATGTGTACGCTTTTCGAAAGAAAGAAAGAAAGAAAGAAAGAAAGAAAGAAAGAAAGAAAGAAAGAAAGAAAGAAAGAAAGAAAGAAAGAAAGGAAGAAAGAAGGAAAGACGGTTGGAAAAACTTACAATAAAGGAGAGGACACCTCGTAGGTCATCCCTGGCAATGCTGCACAAAGGTTTACACTGAGCAAGGATTGTCTGGCCTGCGTAGAGGGTCGCGGACAACAGTTGGACGGTAGTGATAGGTATGTTGTACAGCTCAACAGTCAACAAATACTTCTCTCCTTGAACACCATTTGGACAGATGAGATCTGGATAGAAAAGAAATGATGTGAGTTTAACGCCTCTATCAACACTATTAGATTATTTAAGGGGTGAGATCTCCGAGTTTAAGGTCCATCTCCAAAAGGAACGAGCCAAGTGGGATTTTCGTGTAAAGTGTCTTTCCCAAGGTCACAACATATGACCGAGCTGAATCCCGGACCAGCAACCTCACGATTACGAGTCCGGTAGCCTAACCACTAAGCTACTGGTGAGAAAGAAAACGTATTGATAAGAGCTTTATGTCAACAGAAGCTCTTTGATATGGCTACTACACAATATTAATACAAACATAATAATAGTATGGTATCATGGTTGTCTATCGGAAATATTTTCATTGAGCTTTATGAGAAAACAAACACTTAAGTCAGTGAAAATAAAATAGAAACAACAGAAATATGGTTTCTTAGGAGACTGCTGAGAAAATCGTAGAAGCAAAAGAAATCAAATAAGGTAGTGCTTGATGAAGCACACGTGGGACGCTCACTGTTAAAAACAATCATGGGACACCTGGATAGACAGAAGGTCTTGAACATCTAGCTCTCGCTGGCAAAAATTGAAGGCAAACGAGGCAGGGGTAGGCCCAGAGCAACATTCTTAGGGACCCTAAACAAATAGGTATCGGGGAAAGATCAGGGAAACGTTTAAGAGAGCATCCGAGCAAAGGAATGAATGGAGAACCACGACCGGTGATGTCCCCCACAGATCTGGCACTGGGTGATGATGACTTCTTTGATTTATTTTGTTCCAATGAAAACGACGGGAGAACACAAGTGGATCACCGGCGAGCGATTAACGCAGTTGATATCCTGCTGGATTGATGGCTCTGGTTCGAATCCCAAACACGGCGTTCTGAACTTGATTTGTTTTTGGGGAGTCTTTAAGGCTCTCCCTTTTTGGCTCGGTCCTATCGGAGGTGGTCGTTAAATTCGGTGGTCCTGCCTCTTAAATACCCTTACAGTGTTGAAAAGAGCGTTAAACCGATACAATTTAGCCTTTAATTTTTTAGTAGGTCATCTGCCTATTAAACACCACCGTACATGAAATGCAATTCAATTTTTTTTTACGAACTCGTCAAAGCTACGAAAAAAGTTGGGCTTATAATATATGTATCTAAAACAGAAGTACTACAACTGTCAACAGAAACTACACCCATCAGCCTCTACATTATATCCAAAACTTCAGACTGCTTTGACGACGTCCACCAAAGACTTAAAAATGCATGGATCGTTTTTGTGACTAAACAGATGTCAAAGATCATTTCATTGAAGAAGAAATATTTAAAAATATATAGCAATGTTTTGGTCGTTTTGACGTATGGTTCAGAGATATAGAAAACAAACAATACAATCCAACGAAAAATTAAAAGCTTCCAAACAAAATATTTACGAAGAATTTTACTGATAAAATGGAAAGAAGTTAATACAAAATATAATGAAGTGATAGAAGGAGCTGGAACTGAAGATGTCAATACGATCATTGAAAGGAGAAGATTCAGAACGTGTTCTAAGAATGCCAAAGGCAAGATTGCCCTATCAGACATGGTATTGGAGACCAACTGGAAAAAGAAAACGCGGAAGAACACCAGGAAGCTATAGAGGCACAGTAAGGTATGAGGCAATCACCCAGGGTCTGGATGTGCCGAAATTAGAGAACGTGGCCAGGGACAGGCAAGCGAGGCTTCGACTGTTCTCCGCTTTATGTACCTGACAGTATAGGGAGAGAACAACAACAGAAACAACACATGAATAAAACAGCTGCACGGTTTTGGACGTTGTTCTATCGTTCAGGTCGCTTGGTCGTTGTGTTATACTTCTGTCTGTGGTCTTACATCAAAACATGAGCGTGAATGATACCCCGAGGCCACCACGCGTGTCCACTCAGTTACGACGTAGCTGGCTGGTCAGAGTGACACAGCCACGACAACGACAACAGCAGCAACCATTCTCATGTCGACAGAGTAAACCACTCCGTTTTACGCATCCTCTAAACCCAGTACCGTCAGAAAAGATATCCACATCCCCCCCCCTCACCCCTCACCCCTCAC